CCTCTCCTCTCCTCTCCTCTCCTCTCCTCTCCTCTCCTCGAGTCTCCTCTCCTCTCCTCGAGTCTCCTCTCCTCGAGTCTCCTCTCCGTTGGTGTCCCCAGCCCCAGGATTTGGGGTACCACTGCTCCTGTCCCCCCACTCGTGTCCCCAGCCCAGCCAGGAGCAGCTGCCCAGAGGCTGTGGGGTGTCTGTGGGCCTCTGGGGTGTCTGTGGGGTGCCTGGGGGGTGTGTCTGTGGGGTGTCTGTGGGGTGTTTTTGTGTCTGTGGGGTGTTTTTGGGGTGTCTGTGGGGTGTTTCTGTGTCTGTGGGGTGTGACCCATCCCTCCTCCCTGGCAGCGCCGGCCAGAGGGGCAGAGGGCCAAGGCTGGAGCGGTGCCTGTGCAGAGCTCCAGGTTCAGCATCAATAATTAATCATTTCCTGAGGGGTATTAATCAAGGCCTCGTGCATCATTCATGGCCAGCGGTGCAGGGGGAGCTCGGCTCCGCTGCCCTGCGGGATCTGACATCTCCCAGCCCCTTCCCAAAGGAAACCCGAGCTCCTCTCTGAGCACAGAACCTGCGGTGTCTCCCCAGAAAAGATTTTCCCGGGAGTTTGGGGTCACCTGCACCCCTTGGAGTGGTCCTGGCTCGGGATTCAGCTCCCACACACTGGAGGGGTTCCCCCAGGGTCAGGAGCACCCTTGGGTGCTCTCCAGGTATGAGATTTTAGGGATTCATCTGAGGGGAAGTTTGGGATTTCCCCATCAACCAGGTTTCCTTCTGGCCCCTTCCCACATCCCATCTCTGCTGCCAACCTCCATCCCCATCCCAGCTTCCCACCCCAGCTCCACACCCCACACAAGCTCCCATTCTGCTGGGATTACTGGGACAGATTCTGCTGGGATTCCTGGGACACTGGGTTCTGGGATTCCTGGGACACTGGGTTCTGGGATTCCTGGGACACTGGGTTCTGGGATTCCTGGGACTGGGTTCTGGGATTCCTGGGACACTGGGTTCTGGGATTCCTGGGACACTGGGTTCTGGGATTCCTGGGACACTGGGTTCTGGGATTCCCGGTGTTCAGCCCCGGAATGCTCCAGTCCATGTGTTGACAAAGGCTGAGGGACACGATGGAATAGGACAGGGTTGCCCCTCTCTCGTTCATTTTATGGTTGGGGGGCAGAGCCCCCCTGCCCAGGGCTGCTGGAGGGGACAAAGGCCATCAGGAAAGGAAAGAGCGGATTGCAGCTGTGCCCTTTCCCTGCCTCAGTTTCCCCCCTCGGCAAGGAGAGGAGCATCAGCCCTGAATCACTGAGCACTGATGACAATGGCACTGCTGCCTCCATTGCCACAGGCTCCTTCTCCCGGTGAACGGAGACCAAAGCTCGGCGTGCCCCATCTCCCACTGGAAGGATGGGATTTTGGGATTTCCTGGTTGTAACTGGTTTTTAACCACCAGAGGAGGGCGATTTTTCCATGGAGGGACATTCCTGGCTGCAGCAGCCACCCGGCCATTCCCGGGAGAGGGGAGCCAGCGTCCCTCTGCCGGCTGAAATTCCAAAAGGAAGGGGGTAAAGGGCCTCCCTTTGTGCAGGGTCCCCATCCTGCCTGGTGCTGCCTGGATCTCTCCAACCCTGGGGCTGAGCCAGGCTGGGAATGGGGAATGGGGATCTCATCCCATTTCCTGTGGATCATCCACATCCCACTGGGAACCGGGATCCTGGAGTGGGGGCTCTGGGCTGGCCTTTGGGGGCCCCACAGGAGAGGGGCAGATTCCTCCAGGAGCCATCAGAACAAACCCAGAGCCACGTGCTGTGTTTGGAGGGAGCCCCAGCACGAGGAGCAGGATCCCAGCCCTGTCCCTCCCTGGGATGAGCCCTCCCTCGGGGCTTGGGGATGCTCAGGAGGTGTCACCCCGCTGCACTGACAGATTTTTTCTCCCTGCTAATTACAGAAACACCTTTTCCCCCAAAAAATGCAGAGGTCAGAAACCCAACAGAAATACAGGATGGAAAGGCAGAGAGCAGCCTTAGAGAGGACTTGGATCAGCTCAAGTCTTTAATTAGAAAAATAGACACAAATTTGAAATATTCCTGATAGAGGCCTTTTCTTTTTACAAACAGAATGATGACGATGACGATGATGATGATGATAATAGTATTGAAATCACCTTTCCCAAGGGCCTGTTAGCACCGGTTGCCAGAGCCCGGTGGTGTCTCTCTCCCGTGCCGGCCGGGAAATCTCCAGCCGGGAGCATCCTGCCAAGTGCCGGCTTGGGAAATCGCAGCCCGGCCTCTACGAACGCCGAGCGTCCACAGAACCCACGTCGGTGGCGATTTCTGTCTGTACACGGCTTTTCCGCTGCCCTCCTCGGAACGGGAGCTGGTCCCGGTGGTTCGGAGGCGGCTCCGCATCCCATCCCCGCAGGGAGCGGCCCGGCCCCGGCACCGCCTCCCGCGGGGCCCTGCGGGGCCCGGCTCGGCTCCAACGCCTCCCTCCTCACCCAGGAGGGAACTCCCAGCCCGGCTCTCCCCTGAGACGCTCGGGGGACCTCGGGAAACGCCGCCCGCCAGGGCAGCGCTCAGGCCGGAGCTTCAGAGCGGCCCGAAGGAGAGCCCCACCGAGAAGAACCCCAAGCCCTTGAGCTTCTCCTCGGTCCGGGCTTTCTGCTTGAGGTGCACTTTGCTGTGGCGCTTCTTCTCGTCGCTGCGGGCGAAGCGGCGGCCGCAGGTGTCGCAGGAGAAGGGTTTCTCGCCCGTGTGGGTGCGGATGTGCGTGGTGAGGTGGTCGCTGCGGCTGAAGTTGCGCAGGCAGATGCGGCACTGGAAGGGTTTGTGGCCCGTGTGGATGCGCAGGTGCCGGTTGAGCTCGTCGGAGCGGGCGAAGCTCCGGATGCAGTTCTCCACCGGGCAGGCGAACGCCTTCTCGTGGGGCTTGGGGCAGAAGCACTTGGAGGAGCACTTGCTCCGGCGCGTCTTCTTCTTGGGCTCGGCCAGGGCCGGAGGGTTGGGGGGCAGCAGCGAGGGGAGCGAGGAGGACGTGGGGTGGCCCAGAAAGTCCGTGGGGGGGACGGAAGGAGAGGGGTGAGGATGGAGGAGCTCGGCGGAGCTCATCAGGCCCGGCAGGACCTCGGGCTGGGCCAGGGAGGAGTCGAAGTCCGGCATTAAGGGCGCGGGGATGTTGTGGATCTTGGCGTCGGCGAAGTCCCCGCGGGCCGGGAAGTTTTCTGGCTCGCAGCCGAAGCCCAGATGGGTTCCGAAGCAGGCGGAGTCCTCTGCCAGGCTGCCGAGCTCCGACTGGCAGCTGACGGACAGGACGCTCTCCATCTTGGAGCCCAGCGGGGGAAACAGCCCCTGGCCGCTGTCGGCGGCAGCGAAGCCCTCGGGAGAGGGGAAGAAGGCCTGGTGCTGCTGGGAGATGGGATCCCACTGGCCACAGGAGGCCTTGAACTTGTCCAGGGCCGAGGAGCCGGAGGACAGCTTGATGTCCTGCTTGCTGTCCAGCAGCTTGGGCTGGAAGAAGCACTGGGAGCTGTTTCCCAGCCCGGGCTGTGCCGGCAGGGGCTGAGCGCCCTCGGCCGCGGGGAAGGCTCCGAAGCCCGGCTCCGGGAACGGGCTGGATCCGCTCATCTCGGGCTGGCACGGCGGGTACAGCTCCAGCTGGCTCTGAGCCACCTCGGGACACGGGTAAAGAGCATCCAGGTGCCTCTGGTGGCCCTCGGAGGAGGCGAAGGGGGAGATGCCCAGGATCCCCGACATCAGGTTGAAGAGGGATTCCTGGTCCTGCGGGTGCTCCGGGACCGCCTTGATGAAGAAGCTGCCGGTGTAGCTGAGGGAAGGCGAGGGCTGGCTGCCCAGCAGAGAGTAATCCACTGCCCCGCCGCTGCCGGGGGCACCCAGCAGCTCACCTGGGAACCAGAGGAGACGGTGGTGAGAGGGCTGGAGGGATCCGGGGGCGGGATGCGGGGAGCAGCGGGAGGCTGTGGCGTCACTGCGAGGGCTCCGTCCCTCAAACCGCACGGGGAGCCCCGGGATTCACCCCCCTCCCCCGGCAGGACCCTCGGGACCCCCGCCCTGAGCTAGCGGGGGGCTGCCGAACCCCCAGGCCGGGGCTGAGGGCGGAGGAGGGGAAGGTTCCCGATTCCTGGATGCAGCGATCGTTCCCAGCGGGGTCCCTCGTCCCCGGCCGCCTCCCGGCCGCCCTTACCTCCGAGGAAATCGGCCTCTGCCAGAAGTTGCTGCTCAGGCTGCCCCAAGCCCTGCAGGTCTCCGGTTTTCATCTCGCAGCTCTCCTCGTACTTGGAGTAAAGCGGATCCGGGCAGGAGAAATCCATAACGTTGAGCATCTTCCCTGGAGACGCGGCCGGAGCGGGGGGGCCGGGCTGGGACGAGCCGGGGCTGCTCGGGAGGAGCCGGGGGATGCCCAGGGAGAGCCGGAGGATGCTCAGGGGCGAGACCGGAGATGCTCCAGGCGAGCCCGGGGATGCTCGGGGCGAGGCCGGGATGAGCTGGGAACGCTCGGGATGCCCGCACCGATCCGAGGGACGCTCAGGGACGAGCCGGGGGACGCTCGGGGTGCCCGGATCGGTCCGAGGGATGCTCGGGGCAGGTGCCGGGGACCCTGCAGGTGATGCTCTGGGGGGCTCGGGGCAGTGCGGGGGGCGCTCCGGGGGGGCTGCGGGGGCAGGCCCGGCCCGGGGGGGGCAGGCAGGGCCCGGCGGAGGCGCAGCCCGAGCGGACACCCGGAGCTCCCTCCCCGCCGCCCCCTTTATAGCGGGAGCGGGGCTGCTCCGACCTTCCGCCGCAGCCATTTCTGGAGTCCCCAGTGAGGCTGCCGTGACGTAAATGCCCATATATGGACTCAGGATGTAGGCTAGGGAGTCCCAATAAGGAAATCTCTCCCGTGACGCGATGCCCCTTCCCTCCCCCTTCCCTCCTCCCCTCCCCCTTTTCTCTCCCTCTGTTTTTCATTTTTTTCCCCCCTTCCTTCTCTCTTTTTAACTAATAATCGCGATATTTTTAACAAATCTCCGCCGCTCTGTGTGCGTGTGTGCCCAGCATCCCCTCCCGCAGCCCCGGCTGTGCAGGAACGAGCCTCGCCCGGAGCCTTCGCTGTCCCCCCGGCCGCTCCATCCCCTGCGGCTCGCAGGGATCTGGGGAGGCTGCGGGGATCCCCGCGGCTCGGCCCTTGCTCCGCAGCCTTGGCTCCCGTCCCACCGTGGGCTGCTCCTCTCCCGGATTTGCATCTCCCCAGGCTCTCCTTCGCCCTGTGCTATTTTTCCCCGTTTTGTGAATGCCTTTTGTTGCTCTTGTTCCTTCTAGAAGCGCCAAAGGTTCGCTCTTCCTGCCCCCTTCCCTTCCTGGCCTCCTCTCCCGGCCGGATTTTGCGATCCTCGGTGGCGGCTGCGGCAGAGCGAGCGGCCGGGAGGGGAAGGCAGGGGCTGCTCCCAGCTCCCAGCACCCAGAATCATCCCAGTTCGGGGCTCCCAGCCGGGCTGGAGCGCTCCGGGCTCGGAGCAGGGCTGGGGAAGGCAGATCCATCCTGCAAACCGCACCATCTTCCAGGGGGAAGCTTTCAGAGCGGGCTCCCAGGGCTCGGGAGGGATCCTGAGCTTCCAGCCCGAGCATCCCCGGGAGCCGCGCTGGGCCCTGCCGGAGGTGTCCGGATCCCAGCGCTGCTTTGGAGCTGCTCCTGGACAGGCGGGGACGCTCTGGGGAGAGGATTGTCCCTGGCCTCCGGCACGGCTGGGGAGGAGAATGCTCTGGGCGTTTTGGCTGCCGGGCTCAAACCCCTCTGTGAAGGATGTTCACACAAATCTTTGGGGTACAAACCTGCTGCTCTCAGCTCAAAGCAGCTCAGGTGACCTCGGTGTGCAGGAGGGAGGCTCTGCATGAAAGGAGCTGGGAAAGAGGAGGGGGCCTCTCCCTGGCCTCCCTGAATGTCTCCAGGTGCTCACAGCTCCGGCTGGAAGGCCAGCTGTGCTGGGCTGTGTCCCAGATGTGCTGGGCTGTGTCCCAGATGTGCTGGGCTGTG